TCTCCACAACACCTGCCATCCTCCACTCTCCACAACTCCTGCCATCCTCCACTCTCCACAACACCTGCATCCTCCCTCTCCACAACACCTGCCATCCTCCACTCTCCACAACACCTGCCATCCTCCACTCTCCACAACACCTGCCATTCCTCCACTCTCCACAACACCTGCCTCCTCCACTCCACAACACCTGCCATCCTCCACTCTCCACAACACCTGCCATCCTCCACTCTCCACAACTCCTGCCATCCCCACTCTCCACAACACCTGCCACCCTCCACTCTCCACAACACCTGCCATCCTCCACTCTCCACAACACCTGCCATCCTCCACTCTCCACAACACCTGCCATCCTCCACTCCCACAACACCTGCCATCCTCCACTCCACAACACCTGCCATCCTCCACTCTCCACAACTCCTGCCATCCCCACTCTCCACAACACCTGCCATCCTCCACTCTCCACAACACCTGCCATCCTCCACTCTCCACAACTCCTGCCATCCTCCACTCTCCACAACCCCTTTGCCATCCTCCACTCTCCACAACACCTGCCATCCTCCACTCTCCACAACTCCTGCCATCCTCCACTCTCCACAACACCTGCCATCCTCCACTCTCCTCAACACCTGCCATCCTCCACTCCCCACAACACCTGGCATCCTCCACTCTCCACAATACCTGCCATCCTCCACTCTCCACAACACCTGCCATCCTCCACTCTCCACAACACCTGCCATCCTCCACTCTCCACAACACCTGCCATCCTCCACTCTCCACAACACCTGCCATCCTCCACTCTCCACAACACCTGCCATCCTCCACTCTCCACAACACCTGCCATCCTCCACTCTCCACAACACCTGCCATCCTCCACTCTCCACAACACCTGCCATCCTCCACTCTCCACAACACCTGCCATCCTCCACTCTCCACAACACCTGCCATCCTCCACTCTCCACAACACCTGCCATCCTCCACTCTCCACAACACCTGCCATCCTCCACTCTCCCACAACACCTGCCATCCTCCACTCTCCACAACACCTGCCATCCTCCACTCTCCACAACACCTGCCATCCTCCACTCTCCACAACACCTGCCATCCTCCACTCTCCACAACACCTGCCATCCTCCACTCTCCACAACACCTGCCATCCTCCACTCTCCACAACACCTGCCATCCTCCACTCTCCACAACACCTGCCATCCTCCACTCTCCACAACACCTGCCATCCTCCACTCTCCACAACACCTGGCATCCTCCACTCTCCACAATACCTGCCATCCTCCACTCTCCACAACACCTGCCATCCTCCACTCTCCCACAACACCTGCCATCCTCCACTCTCCACAACACCTGCCATCCTCCACTCTCCACAACACCTGCCATCCTCCACTCTCCACAACACCTGCCATCCTCCACTCTCCACAACACCTGCCATCCTCCACTCTCCACAACACCTGCCATCCTCCACTCTCCACAACACCTGCCATCCTCCACTCTCCACAACACCTGCCATCCTCCACTCTCCACAACACCTGCCATCCTCCACTCTCCACAACACCTGCCATCCTCCACTCTCCACAACACCTGCCATCCTCCACTCTCCACAACACCTGCCATCCTCCACTCTCCACAACACCTGCCATCCTCCACTCTCCACAACACCTGCCATCCTCCACTCTCCACAACACCTGCCATCCTCCACTCTCCACAACACCTGCCATCCTCCACTCTCCACAACACCTGCCATCCTCCACTCTCCACAACACCTGCCATCCTCCACTCTCCACAACATTCCTCACCATTATTACTCTCATCCTCTCTAATTCATCTCAATGGTAAAGACGGAGAGACAAGAAGGTAGTGAGAGACTCCCATATACTTGGCCTGGTAAAAACTGGTGACATGTCGTCTTAACGACATGTCACAGGTTCACTTTAATCCCTGACATGGGGATTAACGTGATCTCTTAGTTTGTACACTGAGACGAATTCACATTTCTCCTGTTCATTCCTTCTGTAGACAGGATCAGCTGCAGCTGCAGCTGCATCACAGGTTGTAGCTAATTATGAATTAGCTAACTGCTTTCAGTCGTTAGCTAAGTATTTTTGCTAAGCTCTTCCCTGAATCCCTTATTAGCTAATCTGTATTTATTATTGTACTTTTGTCTAATTACGAGGTTCTCGTTATAATGTCATCACTACCACAATAACCGTCACCATTATCGCTACCTCCACTACCACTATCGCTACCACCACTTCCACTATCGCTACCACCACTACCACTATCGCTACCACCACTTCCACTATCGCTACCACCACTACCATTATGGCTACCACCACTACCACTATCGCTACCTCCACTACCACTATCGCTACCACCACTTCCACTATCGCTACCACCACTTCCACTATCGCTACCACCATTACCGCTATCGCTACCACCACTTCCACTATCGCTACCACCACTACCACTATCGCTACCACAGTACCACTATCGCTACCACCACTACCACTATCGCTACCACCACTTCCACTATCGCTACCACCAACTACCACTATCGCTACCACCACTTCCACTATCGCTACCACCACTACCACTGTCGCTACCGCCACTTCCACTATCGCTACCACCACTACCACTATCGCTACCACCACTTCCACTATCGCTACCACCACTACCACTATCGCTACCACCACTTCCACTATCGCTACCACCACTACCACTGTCGCTACCCCACTTCCACTATCGCTACCACCACTACCACTATCACCAACTACCACTATCACTACCACGCCTCACCACCAGGTCAGTACATGGTGGAGCCTAGTCGCTGTCATAGTTTTTTTCACCCCGGTCTAATTTTAGCTAATGGTCATTGTATCATTGATGTGCTTGTCAATGATGCAAAGGAAGGAGGGAGCGCAGGGGTGGGGAGGGGGGATCTATTGTGGTACTCTTGTGTTTGTTAAGTTTGGGGAGCAGGAGGGGAGGGAAGAGACAAGGGAGTTGGGAGAGGGATGGGATTGGTGGGGAGCGGGAGACCTAGGGGAGGGAAGGGGATAAGGAGAGAAGGGAGTGAATTTCCGCCTGGATAGTCTTCTTGTTTGTGGTTGAGATAGACAAGAGTGTTAGTTGGAATTTTGCCATAGGCACTCGTCGATTGGACACTTGGCCTGTGTGTACTAACCTAATTGTGGTTGCATGGGTCGAGACTCAGCTCCTGGCCCCGCCTCTTCACCGAGTGCTACTAGGTCCTCTCTCTCCCTGCTCCATGAGCTTCATCATACCTCGTCTTAAAGCTATGTATGGTTCCTGCCTCCACTACCTCACTTGCTAGGCTATTCCACTTCCTGACTACTCTATGACTGAAGAAAAACTTCCTAACATCCCTTTGACTCATCTGAGTCTTCAACTTCCAATTGTGACCCCTTGTTTCTGTGTCCACTTACTGGAACATCCTGTGTGTGTGTGGTGTGTGTGTGTGTGATCTAATATCGCTGTACTCTCGTGTCTTGAGTACAGGTTCCAGTATAAGACTACCCTTCCCTGCAGGTGCCTGTGAAGTTGTCCTGATTCACGAAACCACAATAATATCGCGGCTTTGGAGGGTCTTGAGCTAGAGCTCGCCACAGCCACGCTGATGTCTGATTCGTCCGTGAAAAAAAACTGCATTTGTGGACACAGTGGTGGTCCATGCTAACCTGTTTATGGCGTGTGGAAATGTACATAGGTGGATGAATCCAATTAGAGCCAGTTAGTCCAGTGGTTAACACACTAGCCTGTGAGCTTTAGCACTACCCTGCCGCGGGTTCGAGTCCCACCCTTTCTGTGATAAAGATGATCTGTCTTGCAGGTGCCTATATACAGGTGTCCTGCCCTGCAGATACCTGCAGGGCAGGGCATTATTACTCGTTGATCAGGCAACGTTGACGAAGTTATTCAGTCTTTTGAAGTCATTTTCGTACTAGAAGATTTAAGACCCGTGCTTGACCAAACAATAAAACAAGGCTTAAGACTCATGTCTGGCTAAACAAGACACGACAGGACGTAAGACTCATGTCTGCTTAAACAACAAAACACGACAGGACGTAAGACTCATGTCTGGCTAAACAAGACACGACAGGACGTAAGACTCATGTCTGCTTAAACAACAAAGCACGACAGGACGTAAGACTCATGTCTGGCTAAACAAGACACGACAGGACGTAAGACTCATGTCTGCTTAAACAACAAAACACGACAGACTAAGACTCATGTCTGGCTAAACAAGACACGACAGGACGTAAGACTCATGTCTGCTTAAACAACAAAACACGACAGGACGTAAGACTCATGTCTGGCTAAACAAGACACGACAGGACGTAAGACTCATGTCTGGCTAAACAAGACACGACAGGACGTAAGACTCATGTCTGGCTAGACAAGACACGACAGGACGTAAGACTCATGTCTGGCTAAACAAGACACGACAGGACGTAAGACTCATGTCTGCTTAAACAACAAAACACGACAGGACGTAAGACTCATGTCTGGCTAAACAAGACACGACAGGACGTAAGACTCATGTCTGCTTAAACAACAAAACACGACAGGACATAAGACTCATGTCTGGCTAAACAAGACACGACAGGAACCTAAGACTCTTGTCTGGCTACACCACAAGACAGACACTCCCAACCAACAATTAATTACGTAGATAGAAACAAAGCCTCGCTATAACAAACTAATGGAAACTGGAAGAGTTTCTCCAAATGCCTATTAAATCAGAATAATGTTTGAAGATAGCAAAGAAAAACATTGAAGTATTCTGGTGTATATCTAATAAAATATTATAATCGAAATTTACAGTTAGACTGCAATAAACGTGGATATTAAAGAGGTTTAAAAGTTATATAGTCGTGTTTAGCTGGATAATGTGTCGGAAATATAATATTAGTTGTGATTAAGTGAATTTGTAAAAGCCGTGAAGACCAACGTTATTAGTTTTCCTAATTTGTGTTGTCTCGTGTGCAGGTCGCCCCACCGACCTGCAGTGATCTGGAGGCAGCGACGAGGTGGGACGGCAGCCACACAGCACCACCACCACCTCCACTCTCACCACCACTATCACCACCGGTGTCGCCCTCATCTCTGCCAGCGGAGCCAACACCATGGCGCAGTAGAGATCGTTCTCCATCATGCAACTTAGGAACACCATGATTCTAGTGCTGGTGAGTAGCCGTCACCATTGTTACAAATACTGAACTACACCCATTCAGAGAGACGCGTAGCAGATGCGTCACAGACACGTCCGTACGACACTGTTCCTCACACCACACTCTTATCAGAAAGTCGCAGGCTAGTCACAGACATGCCCAGACTCGTGTATCTAAAGAATACATAGATCAATGATTTACAGTTAGACTGCAATACGTGGATGAAAGTTTATAGTAATAGTGTGTTTGGGATATGAGTCTAGAAATAAGTCCGAATAAGTGAATTGCAACACTATCCAACTAAATTCAAATCTGGTGCCTTGCAACAGTTCTCAACTACCACAATACAGTGACTGGCAACACCCAACTACCCACAATCTGTGGCTGCACCACACTCCTCATCACCCACAATACCGTGTGCATCATACACTGCCTCCCAACTAACCCACAATACTGAGACTGCACACTTCCAACTAAACCCATATCAGCTGTGGCTGCAACACTTCCCAACTTTTATCAAACTTGCAACACTCACTTCAACTAACCCACAATGACTGTGACGTGCAAAACTTTCCCACAACCACATACTGTATGCAACATTCCCAACTTAACCCAAAATGTGGCTGCAACACTTTCCAAACTAGAAATATTAATGTGACTGCAGCACTTCCAACAACAGCCACAATACCGTGGCTGCAACACTTCCCAACTAACCCACAATACTGTGACTGCAACACTTCCCAACTAACCCACAATACTGTGACTGCAACACTTCCAACTAAACCCACAATCTGTGGCTGCAACACTTCCCAACTAACCCACAATACTGTGACTGCAACACTTCCCAACTAACCCACAATACCGTGGCTGCAACACTTCCCAACTAACCCACAATGCTGTGGCTGCAACACTTCCCAACTAACCCACAATGCTGTGGCTGCAACACTTCCCAACTAACCCACAATACTGTGACTGCAACACTTCCCAACTAACCCACAATACCGTGGCTGCAACACTTCCCAACTAACCCACAATACTGTGACTGCAACACTTCCCAACTAACCCACAATACCGTGGCTGCAACACTTCCCAACTAACCCACAATACCGTGGCTGCAACACTTCCCAACTAACTCACAATACCGTGGCTGCAACACTTCCCAACTAACCCACAATACTGTGACTGCAACACTTCTCAACTAACCCACAATACCGTGGCTGCAACAAATACCAACTAACCCCAATACCGTTAGCAAACTCAAACTACGGACGTGGCATATTGCCCATTACCAAGTCGTGGCTGATTTATAACCCACATGGTACGTGGCTGCAACACTCAAAGACTACAATCCGGGAGAGACTCCAGGGAGGGTAGACCAGTAATAGGGACTACCACTCTCAATACCCAAATACCAAGTGGTGCATCAGGTTACCCAAGGTCTAACCACCAACCGTGGTGATTACCATCCCAAGTACCGGCGCAACACTTCTCAATGAGGTTCCACATCCAGGGGTTCACCAATACCAGAGGGTAACCACTCAGAGGTTACCATCCAGGGAGTTACGATCATAGTTTACCATTCCAGTGAGGTTATCCAGGAGGTTACCACACCGAGGAGAGTTACCATCCAGGAAGAGTACATCCAGGGAGGTTACACCCAGGAGTTACCATCCAGGGAGGTTACCATCCAGGAGATGTACCACCCAGGTATCCAGGGAGGTTACCACCCAGGAGGTTACCATCCAGGAAGGTTACATCCCAGGAGGTTACCAAACTCCAGGAAGGCTATCATCCAGGAGGTTACCACCCAGGAGGTTACCATCCAGGAGGTTACCACCCAGGAGGTTACTATCCAGGAAGGTTATCATCCAGGTTACACCCAGGGAGGTTACCATCCAGGAGGTTACCACCCAGGAGGTTACCATCCGGAGGTTACCACCCAGGAGGTTACCATCCAGGGAGGTTACCACCCAGGAGGTTATCATCCAGGAGGTTACCACCCAGGAGGTTATCATCCAGGAAGGTTACCACCCAGAAGGTTACCATCCAGGAAGATTACCACCCAGAAGGTTACCATCCAGGGAGATTACCACCCAGAAGGTTACCATCCAGGAGGTTACCACCCAGGAGGTTACCATCCAGGGAGGTTACCACCCAGGAGGTTACCATCCAGGGAGGTTATAACCCAGGAGGTTGCATCCAGGGAAGTTACCATTCAGGAGGTTACCACCCAGGAGGTTATCATCCAGGAAGATTACCACCCAGAAGGTTACCATCCAGGGAGGTTACCACCCAGAAGGTTACCATCCAGGAGGTTACCACCCAGGAGGTTACCATCCAGGAAGGATTACCACCCAGAAGGTTACCATCCAGGGAGGTTACCACCCAGAAGGTTACCATCCAGGAAGATTACCACCCAGAAGGTTACCATCCAGGGAGATTACCACCCAGAAGGTTACTATCCAGGAGGATACCACCAGGGAGTTACCACCAGGAGGTTACCACCAGGAGGTTACATCCAGGAGGTTACCATCCAGGGAGGTTACAACCAGGAGGTTACATCCAGGGAGTTACCATTCAGGAGGTTACCATCCAGGGAGGTTACCATCCAGGAGGTACCATCCAGGGAGGTTACCACCAGGGAGGATACCACCCAGGAGGTTACCATCCAGGGAGGTTACCACCCAGGACGTTACATCCAGGGAGGTTACCATCCAGGGAGGTTACCACCCAGGAGGTTACATCCAGGGAGGTTACCATCCAGGGAGGTTACCATCCAGGGAGGTTACCATCCAGGGAGGTTACCATCCAGGGAGGTTACCATCCAGGGAGGTTACCACCCAGGACGTTACATCCAGGGAGGTTACCACCCAGCAGGTTACCATCCAGGGAGGTTACCACCCAGAAGGTTACCATCCAGGAGGTTACCACCCAGGAGGTTACCATCCAGGGAGGTTACCACCCAGGAGGTTATCATCCAGGGAGGTTACAACCCAGGAAGTTACCATCCAGGGAGGTTACCAACCAGGAGATTACCATCCAGGGAGGTTACCATCCAGGAAGGTTACCACCCAGAAGCTTACATCCAGGGAGGTTACCAACCAGGAGATTACCATCCAGGGAGGTTACCATCCAGGAGGTTACCACTCAGGAGGTTACCATCCAGGAAGGTTACATCCAGGGAGGTTACCACCTAGGAAGGTTACATCCAGGGAGGTTACCACCTAGAAGGTTACCATCCAGGGAAGTTACCACCCAGGAGGTTATCCAGGGAGGTTACCACCCAGGACGCTACATCCAGGAAGGTTACCACCCAGGAGGTTACCATCCAGGAGGTTACCATCCAGGAAGGTTACATCCAGGGAAGTTACCATTCAGGAGGTTACCACCCAGGAGGTTACTATCCAGGGAGGTTATCATCCAGGAGGTTACACCCAGGGAGGTTACCATTCAGGAGGTTACCACCCAGGAGGTTACCATCCAGGGAGGTTACCACAAAGGAGGTTACCATCCAGGGAGGTTATAACCCAGGAGGTTACATCCAGGGAAGTTACCATTCAGGAGGTTACCACCCAGGAGGTTACCATCCAGGGAGGTTACCGCCCAGGAGATTACCATCCAGGGAGGTTATAACACAGGAGGTTACATCCAGGGTGGTTACCATCCAGGAGGTTACCACCCAGCAGGTTATCATCCAGGAAGATTACCACCCAGAAGGTTACCATCCAGGGAGGTTACTACCCAGAAGGTTACCATCCAGGAGGATACCACCCAAGAGGTTACCATCCAGGGGTTACCAACCAGACATTACATCCAGGGAAGGTTACCATCCAGGGAGGTTGCCACTCAGGAGGTTACCATCCAGGGAGGTTACCACCCAGGAGGTTACAACCAGGAAGGTTACCACAAAGGAGGTTGCATCCAGGGAGGTTACCACCCAGGACGTTACATCCAGGGAGGTTACCATCCAGGAGGTTACCACCCAGGAGGTTACCATCCAGGGAGGTTACCACCCAGGAGGTTATCCAGGGAGGTTACAACCCAGGAGGTTACATCCAGGGAGGTTACCAACCAGAAGATTACCATCCAGGGAAGTTACCATCCAGGAGGTTACCTCCCAGGAGGTTACCATCCAGGGAGGTTACCACTCAGGAGGTTACCATCCAGGAAGGTTACCACCCAGAAGGTTACCGGCCAGGAAGGTTACCACCGAGGAGGTTACCATCCAGGGAAGTTACCACCCAGGAGGTTACCATCCAGGGAGGTTACCATCCAGGAAGGTTACCACCCAGGAGGTTACCATCCAGGAAGGTTACCACCCAGGAGGTTACCATCCAGGGAGGTTACCACCCAGGAGGTTGCCATCCAGGAAGGTTACCATCCAGGAAGGTTACCACCCAGGAGGTTACCATCCAGGGAGGTTACCACCCAGGAGGTTACATTCAGGGAGGTTACCACCCAGGAGGTTACATCCAGGGAGGTTACCACCCAGGAGGTTACCACCCAGGAGGTTACCATCCAGGGAGGTTACCTCCCAGGAGGTTACATCCAGGGAGGTTACCTTCCAGGAGGCTACAACCCAGGAAGTTACCATCCAGGGAGGTTACCACCCAGTAGGTTACCATCCAGGGAGGTTACCACTCAGAAGGTTGCATCCAGGGAGGTTACCAACCAGGAGGTTACCATCCAGGAGGTTACCACCCAGGAGGTTACCATCCAGGGAGGTTACCACTCAGAAGGTTGCATCCAGGGAGGTTACCAACCAGGAGGTTACCATCCAGGGGGGTTACCACCCAGGAGGTTACCGTCCAGGGAGGTTACCACCCAGAAAAGTGCCATGCAAGGAGGCATTACCTTCCGGACAGACAAAATCAAACGGAAACCTGCTAAATGTTTTGCACTCTGGCAAGATTGCGGGCCCTTACTCTCACCTCTCCCACCTCTCTCTCTCTCTCTCTCTCCTCTCTCTCTCTCTCTCTCTCTCTCTCTCTCTCTCTCTCTCTCTCCCTCTCTCT